CGGTCGGTCGGTCGGTCGGTCGGTCGGTCGGTCGGTCTGAAGTCTACCAGGAAGCAAAGACGCTGAGCTCACAAGTTGAGAACTCTAAGGGATTAGAAACATCTGTATGAAACTTTGCATTCAGGTACAAAATGTATTGTGATCACTTTTTCATGAGCCTCCCAGCTGTGGATCAAATACCGAAGAACGGGTGTATCTAACTGGCAGTGATGAAGAACTGTGTTTTGTTAGCAATGAAAAAGCTGCCAAGTGAAACGTTATGGAAGAGGTGCTTCATAAACAGTTACAAGGACAGACAGTGAGCTCTGTGTTGTCAAGTGGTATGACAATAAGCCAATTGTCATGCTATCTGCTGCTCATGCAGAATAACCTAAACATACCTGCCAGCAACTGTCAAAGAAGGACAAAAAATATGTGATTGTTACACGACTAAGAATTGTACGGGAGGACAATGTCCACACCAAGAAGTGGATAATTTGCGTGATGATGCACTTCACTGATCTTGCTCTTCTTAACAGCTAAGTTTAACACCAAGCTACGTGGGTAAATGGCCCTCCAAGAAAGGCTATCATGATGCTTCTCGAGTTTCACATGGTGATAGGTAATCCTCAACAAGCATGATGCACTAAACTAAGAGTCATTTTTCTGGTGAAGAGGGAGAGAATCCACAGTCAAGGAAAGAGTCTCAGGTCACCCCAATCCCACATGCCTCTGTTTGCACATTTTTCTGCTGCACATCTTCCAGAGATGACTGACCTAAGAAATCCAATGTGTTGCAGGGTGTAAGGCTGCCCAGGGAAGTCCTGTGTCCAATCCAATCAATGCAATGTGTTCCTTTGCTTGCAGAGAGATCAGAACGGTCTGCAGCATTTCACAAAGGTTAGTAGGCCTGTTCAGGAAGGACAGACTGCCTGGTGCAGAGTTTTTGCAGGTTTCTTTTCAACAATTATGTCTAGGGGCTGAAATACACATCTGTTTGCACTTGTTGAAGTTTCCTAAAGGCCATTAGGTACACTTCATTAACCAGGGTTTTGTTTACTTTACTTTACTTTGTTTACTTTTTAAATAGCCATGTTCAGAGCCAGAGGAACACACTTGTTTGCATTGTTGAAACCTTCCCCAAAGAAGCCCCAAAGTTGGGCTTTTCTGTATGCAACCTGAATTTTACAGATGTTTCTATAGCTTTAAAAATGACTTCTATCATAACAGGGTCTAGTTATTAAAAATAGTAGATCCAAAAAATCCCATCTAACTTAAATAATAAAGAACAAATAAATTCCAAACAAAAGCTTGGGTCAAAGAAGGTTATTGGGACAAAGTCAAAAACATGTCATATTGACATCTTTTCAATTTTTCTTAAGTCTTGAGAAAGTCATTTGTCTAAATTTTTGAACAGATACAGTAAAGGCTCTCCTGAATCTTTTTTAACTCTAAATTCTCTGATGAAAGCCATACAGAAAAACATATGTTCCACTCCACAGCAGAGTATGTATGTGAACAATTAGTTTTCCCGATAGGATCCTACATTAAACTTTAGGTGATCTGGTAAATCTTACAAATGATGAACTGAAATTAATTTAAATTCATATTAGTTCAGGTTATTATAATATCCCAGGGGGGAACTGGTTTCCAACATGCATTATAAAACAAACAACATAATCACACAACGATAAGCATCAGCAACCACTAACTTATTACAATTTACAACTTAGAAAAAAGTCTGAAAATAACGTAGTTTTTGCTGTATTACACATAATGCGTTGAACGTGCATAATCCTCTCAGACTAATGGGAACATAGTAACATCTGTTTTACGGTTACCCTTATAGTAACTGTTTTCAGCTCCTTTAGGGTAATTGTATTTTTCCACTGATATTTTAGACCTATCATATTTTAATTCAAGATTGTTAGACATTCCAAATTTTACTTTCAGTCAGAAAAAAACATGTTGACCAAACTAAAAGCTTACTTTTAATTTAACTCTGCTTAGGGTTTCAATGTATTAATCTTGTTCTGAAATCATTCGGTATTTCCAATAAAAACTTAAAAATCAGCTGTTGAAACACATGAGCATTTCTCCTAAATAAGAGGGCCCTGGCAATCCAAGAATGGCATTAGTAATAGGTCAGGGAAGGATATTTCGTCATTCTCCGACCTATTACTAATGCCATTAGTAATAGGTCAGAGAAGGATATTTGGTCATTTCTTCCTTATCTTTTTCTGGTTGTTTAGTTATGTTATGCTCAATTAACTTTAGAGAAAAGTTGTAATCTTGTTTAATCACTTTCTTTCATCACTGCATTTGTCTTTTAATTAATATTTGCCCACATCAGAACAAATAATTTTAATCTGCATGTTTTTTTTTTAGGCCAGCCCATTTCTGAACGTGGTAAAGTATTATGTAGCAGAATAATTTTGATAAAAGCAAAGTGGAATGCAAAAAAACTAACAAAACAAAAAAATTTTTTTTTTGAAAATATCCTTTTTTGTGAGCTGTCCATGTTTAGTTTTGTGGGTTGTGTGAAGGAAGCAACTGAAATATTAATAGGACCAACTCCCAAATAACCTGTCACAAGTTGTGTCACACCTCAAACAGAATTGATTTATCCCATGACATGTAGTTTGTAATAATGCTCACACCTATACCAACATACAACAGGACCTAAAAGTCATCTCAAAGTTTTGCTTGTTTATTTTAAAGGAGTGGTACTGTTGGAGTGAAAGATTATTTTTTTTACATTGGCTTTTTTTTTTTTTTTTTTTGAGCTATCAGTATATAACAGTGTGGAACAGTGAAAAGAAAAACACATTATCACTGAGCAGGTAAGCTCTTTCCACGTCAAGACTGTTTCTAGGTCTGTTTGAACTATAACTGAATGCAAATTTTATTTTATTGTTTTAAACTAAAACCAGATTCATTTTTTTCAGCCATGGGGACTACTTTGCTGTTTTGTGTTGTGGGGGCTTTTTTGAGTTGTAAGTACAACAGCTATTATATATATATATATATATATATATATATATATATATATATATATATATATATTTTTTTTTTTTTTTTTTTTTTTTTCTTTTAACTGTGAGATTTACTTAAGTGTGGTATTTAATTTCTGTAGCTGAAAAAATTTTGCTCACATATAATCATATAAGCGTATAGCAATTTTTTTATAATAACTTTTATTGTTAACCTACAGTATAGTAGCCACATTTTGTGAAGTCTGCTTATTGTGTTCTGTTTATAAGCAGTCAAGTTACTTTCTCTATTTTCAACCCACTTTTCAATCTCCATAATTAAAAGCTACTGTTCTTTATTCTTAGGGGAAGAAATAGAAATATTTTCACCAGCAGTCTTGTTGATTTTGGTTTGGTTTTTGTGCTATTAGGGAAAGCTTTCATAATTCTTATTTATCTATATAATTTCCAGCAATCCAGTCATCCATTTCTGTAAATACTTGGATCACTGTGGCATCAATAGACTCTATAGTTTCCATATTCTTTTATCACATCAGTCCAGCAAAAAAGATCTGTAAAACGCAGTACATTTAGCTTTTGCCTGAAGCAACCTAAATTACACCTAATCTTAAGGTGTTTCTCTATTTTTTTCAATAATTTTCACCACTTAGGTCCATCGCATGCTGGCTGGACAGGAAGGGAGTTTGCCCTCTCATTTTTGCAGAATTATTTACCAAACTACAGCAATCCTCGTTATCAGCTGTACATCACAGCTGTTCAAGCCAACACCAAAGTTACTGTGCAAGTGCCTCCCCTGAAGTTCAAAGAAGAAAGAACCCTTGAAGCTGGGGAAAGGGTCACCATCAGTATTCCAACTGGCATTGAGATGTACAGCAGTGAAAAGTCCTGCAAAACTGTTCAGGTTGAAGCCTCAGCAGATGTGTCTGTGACCTCTTTTAACTTCAAGCTGTACACAGCTGACACCTCAGTTATATATCCAACCAGTGAATGGGGGACAGAATACTTCATCTTCACTCCAACCAACGGCTACTATGGCTCCAAAAAAGAGTTTGCTGTGACAAACGGAAAAGAAAAAAACCAGGTGGAGATATACCCTGAAGCATCAATTATCTTTCAAAACCGTGTCTTTAGAAGAGGTGACAAAATAACAATAGACCTTGACCCATACGAGAGCGTTCAGCTTCAGAGCAATGGAGACTTGTCTGGTAGCAGGGTTTCCTCCAATCATCCAATTGCTGTCTTTTCGGGACACACTTGCACCTTACGTTTTTCTAAATGTAATCATGTTTATGAGCAGCTTTTACCAGTGAGCAGTTGGGGAACCACCTTCATCTTGTCGGCTCTAAGCTTCCAGAGTAAATATGACTCTGTTTATCTCCTGGCCTCCCAAACAAGCCATGTCACCATTAACGATGGTAAAAGTAACAAGGACTTTACTATCTCCAGAGGCCAGACTAAGGAAATAAAATTAAGCAGCTCTGAAACACTTTTTATTAAGTCTGATCATGGCATCCAGGTCCTGCTGCTTTTTAATGGTGTTTACCATAGCTGGTGGCAACAATACGATCCATTTTTGATGACAGTTATGTCTGTGGACCGCTTTTGCTCGTCCTACTCACTGGAAGCTCTTGAAAACTTTGATAACAAGGCCCTGATTGTAGCCAAAACCAGTGCAACAGCTAGACTTCTTTGGGACAATGGAAAATTACCAGAAGACATACAATGGAAGAAGGTTACCGGGACAGATTTCTCTTCAGTAGAGATCTCCTACAAAGAAATTTCAGGCAACAGAATCCATACAGTTTCCAGCTCTGGTTCTAGCTTTGGGCTCTACAGCATTGGTGTCAGTCACATGAATGGTTATGGTTCTGCAGGACACTGTACAAAGGATGGGCAAAATTCAGGTAATATATACAATATAAAGCAGATCTAAATCTCTTCTTCAAACCTTTTCAGATAAATCTGTCCAATTCATTTCTTTTAGACAAGGCCCCCTTGTCCTGCAGTAGCATCACTTGCAGTGCGAATCAAGTCTGCAAAATGAGTGATGGGCTTCCCTCCTGTGTGGCCGAACAAGTGAAACCACATCTTGGTACCTGCTGGGCAATGGGAGATCCTCACTATCGTACTTTTGATGGACGGCACTTTGATTTTATGGGTACTTGCACGTATGTCATTGCTAAAAACTGTGAAAAGGACAGCAACCTCCCAGAATTCGAAGTCCTTGCCCAGAATGAGAACAGAGGAAGTCGCAGAGTCTCGTATGTTGGCCTGGTGATAGTTAAGGTCTATGATATCACTATTATGGTAGCTCGGTCTGAAAGAGGTCGTGTGAGGGTAAGAGTTTCTTAAAACTTTTAATCCACATTAGCTACAGTGCATTGTCAGATTTTTTTTTGTTTGTTATTTTTAAGTTATTTGTGCATTTTCTTTTTTTTATTGCAGATTGACAACAACCTTTGGTCCTTGCCCATAACCTTAAATGACGGCAAACTGAAGGTGTTTCAGTGTGGCCGCTCTGCAGTTATAGAGTCTGATTTTGGCCTTACAGTGCGTTATAACTGGGATCACAATCTTGTGGTCACTCTATCAGACAGTTTTGCTGGTAAAACCTGTGGACTCTGTGGTAATTTTAATAGCAGCCCAGCGGATGATTTTACCACACCTTCAGGCACCCAGGCAAGTGGGATTGTGGACTTTGGACGCAGCTGGAAGGTGCCTGGGTTAGGGACTGATCCCAAATGCAGAGACGACTGTGTGGGTGGGTGTGACAGCTGTAACAGCCATTTGATGAAGAAGTATGGGTTTGACTCATTTTGTGGGATAATTACCAAAAAGTCCGGTCCATTTAGTAAGTGTCATCCAGTCATTGACCCACAGGCTTACATGGACAATTGTATATATGATCTATGTATGGGAGGTGGTCTTCGGCAGTTCCTTTGCAAAGCTCTTGAGTCGTATACTGAAGCCTGTCAGGATGTTGGAATCCAGATTCAAAATTGGAGGAAGATGGCAAAATGCTGTAAGTATCTCAAGGTAAAGTAATACACTAAATTAAATTTGAATATAACTAATCTGTTGTTTGAATTCATCTATGGCACTTTGTCCAACTGTTTCTCCATACAGATGACAAATGTCCAGCCAACAGTCACTATGAGTTCTGTGGTAACGCCTGTCCAGCTACTTGTTCTGACCCTACCGCCCCATCTAAATGCAAACGTCCCTGTGTTGAGACCTGTACCTGCGATAATGGCTTTGTTTTAAGTGGAGACAAGTGTGTGCCTACTGCTAACTGTGGTTGCACCTATGAGGGTCGCTATGTTCCTGCTGGGGAAACATTCTGGGCTGACCAGCACTGCAAGCGAAGTTGTAAATGTGTTCCTGGGAGCAGACAAATAGAGTGTCATGATACAGGCTGTGGGGCAGGGCAACAATGCAAAGTGGTGAATGGCATAAGAAAATGCCAATCAGTGTCCTACAGTACCTGCCATGCCACTGGTGATCCACATTATGTAACCTTTGATAAGATGAGGTTTGACTTTCAGGGCACATGTGTGTACCAACTTGCTGCATTGTGCTCCAAGAATCCAGAGTTGGTTCCCTTTGAAGTACTGGTGCAAAATGAGCATCGGGGCAGCAAAGTGGTTTCTTTTACTAAGTTAGTACAGATTAATGTGTACTCTACCAGAATCATCATCACAAAGACACAAAAAGGCTTGATTATGGTAAGATACCCATACAGTTTAAGTATATTTATGATTTCTCTTTGTTCCTTTTCATTGCACAAGATTATAATTAATCTACCTCCATTTTAGATAAATGATGAGCTAGTCAACCTCCCTGTTGACATCAATGACGGGCAGATATCTGTGCATAAAAGTGGCTGGTATGCCGTTCTCACCACAGATTTTGGCCTAAAAGTCACTTTTAACTGGGGAAGTGCTGTATTTGTTACATTGCCAAGCAACTACATGGGAGCTGTGTGTGGTCTATGTGGCAACTATAATGGCAAACTCCAGGATGATCTGACACCAAAGGATGGGAACAAACCAGTCAAGCCAGAAGACTTTGGTTCAAGCTGGCGAGTGGCTGAGATTCCAGGCTGTGTTGAAGGCTGCAAAGGGGTCTGTCCAAACTGTGATATTACCCAGAAGGCAAAATATGAGAAGAAAGAATTTTGTGGGATAATTGGAGACCCTGAAGGGCCATTCCGTGAGTGTCATGCCAAGGTAGATCCAGGTGACTACTTGAAGGACTGTGTCTATGATGTATGCCTGTATAAAGGCAGGAAGGATGTACTGTGTCAGGCTATTACATCATACACATCTGCATGCCAAGGAGCTGGGGCTAAGGTGTACAGCTGGAGGACCAGTCAGTTCTGTGGTAAGAAATACATCAATATTATTAAAAGGGAAGAAACAATCATATAATATGTATGTATTGTTTTAAAATTAATATAATCCAGTGACAAACAACTATTACTATTTGTTCTTTGCTAACAGAGGTGCAATGTCCCAAAAACAGCCACTTTGAAATCTGTGCAACTGCGTGTCCTGCAACCTGCAGCAGTCTAGCTCCTCCTCAAGGCTGTGAGGATTTTTGTGGGGAGGGTTGTGAATGTGATGAAGGTTATATCCTCAGTGGAAATCGCTGTGTTCCCTTCTCGCAATGTGGCTGCATTCACAACAACCGCTACTACAGAATAGGTGAAGTGTTTTACCCTAATGGTCACTGTCAGGAGGAGTGCAAGTGTGCACAGGATGGAGAGGTAAAGTATGACATAAATTTTCTGAAAGATTTTAAACTATTTTGCCCCTGCAACCATAAATCTCTTTGTATGTCATTGAGATTTTATGTGATACACAAATGGAAATAAGTGCTTATTATGAGTCGTTATGAAATTTGTTTTAGACTTTTAAAGTTGAAATATATCACTATTAAACGATTTACATGACCCCTTTTACAGCAATTTTGTCTGCAAGTCTTTTGGGGTTTGTATTTATCATATTTAATCATCTAGTATGGTGCCAGGAGAACTCAAACATTCTTACATTTTTCTTTGCATAAGAGCAGAATATTGCTAAGATCTAAGGTTTAAAGCTAATTAGAAAAGTGGTCTTTCTGCATGGAGTTTGCATGTTCTCCCCGTGCATGTGTGGGTTCTCTCTGGGTACTCCGGCTTCCTCAGTATATTCTCTACAGTTTATGTTAACCAGGCACACTCATTGCTGCTCGATACCTATTCACAAAGTTTACTCATATTCCCTTTTTCTGTTTCTCAATATGTAATAGAAAAAATATCTTTACTGCTTACTGCTTTCTTGTTTGTACACCTTTGAACCCAACAATACAAAACCGTTTTGGAACAGAGCTGCAATTGAAACAAATACCCAGAATCGCTTTGAGGCCAACCAATAGTTTTTCTCCAGTCTCTACAAACTACTCCAAGTTTTTTCCTCTGCAACCACCTGAGCAGCAGCCTAACTGGCCACACAATACCTGCTTGCTGCCTCAGGAGTCCCACAGGCTAATCAGAGGTGATAGTTCTCATTCTACAATTTGACAGCATTCCTTACTGTCGGCGTTCACCACCAGGCTCAGGTGCGGCCACTACAACAGAAATTATGCTCACAGCTTTAAGTGTAAGCATCAACAACAGAGGCAGAGAACATCAGCCTCCCCTAGAATCTAAGAGAAACTCTATATGAAGTGGGAGTGGAATACGCTCGTGACCAAGTGCCCCACCAGATGTTCCCCAGCCGACCCTCACAATGCCTTTGGGCCTGCTTCCCCCTCCTTCAGCCTATCCATCTCACCATTGGGTATTGATCATTGGACAGAGCTTCCCTTCTCTGTCCAAAACATGCAGCTGAAGGTCAGAAGATAGAACTACAAAGCCGATCATCGAGCTTTGGCCAAAGATGTTGTTATGCCAAATGCATTGATGGACATCCTTATGCTTGAACATGGGGTTCATTATAGAGAATTCCTGACATGCACTCCAGTCTAGTAAGGAAACCCGACTCAATTTCAAAGTTGGGGGCCAGTCCCTTTCAATCTAACCGCTCGAGGAGTCAATGTAGTTTCCCACATGGGTGTTCAAGTCCCCAAGCAGAATGAAGGAATACATGAGGGGGCACTGTCCAGCACTCCTATCATGGATGCTAAGAAAGTATTGCCTCATAATATTTAAATAAAAGGCTTTGTGTTCTTACTAAAGGAAATATCCTTGCTAGATTGACAAATTATGTTTCTTATCTCTCTTTCTCTTAGGTTGAGTGTGAAAAGTTCAAATGTGGTCCTAATGAGCAGTGCAAGCTTGAGAATGGCGTACAAAAATGTCATCCAGTTGGTAAAGGTTTTTGCCGAGCTTCTGGTGATCCCCACTACCTCTCTTTTGATGGTCAGAAATTTGACTTCCAAGGAACCTGCACATATATTCTCTCTAAGAGCTGTGGTGTGGAGGGAACACATCTAGAGGCCTTTTCAGTCCAGGTGGAGAATGTGCAGTGGGACCGAATGAGAGGAAAGAAAAAGGTTTCTGTCACCAGACTGGTTTCATTGGAGGCCTATGGCTTCACTCTCATCATGAGAAACAAAATATTTGGAGTGATGGTGAGCAATGAATTTCTCATTTGAACGCTATCTACATCTGATTTTAAATTATAACCTTTGACCTAATTGTTTTCATTTTAGATAAATGGGGAGTTTAACAACCTGCCTGTTAATCTAAAAGAAGGAGCACTTAAGGTTTATCAAGAGGGTAGAAATTATGTCATTTCAACAAATTTTGGACTGGTGGTCACATACGACCTAGTCTACCATGTGACAGTCACGGTACCCGGTAATTATCGTGGCAAAGTCTGTGGGCTGTGCGGCAACTTCAATGGAGATAAACAAGATGACTTCCAGATGTCCAACCATCAAGTTACCAATAATGTCAACATGTTTGGAAAATCATGGCAGATCAACATTCCCAATGTGGTGTGTGAAAATGGCTGTGAGGGGAATAACTGTCCAAACTGTGATACAGCTCACAAAGCTGTCTTTTCGAAGCCCACATATTGTGGTATCATTGCAGCATCCAAAGGACCATTTGCAGCCTGTCACAGTAAAATTGACCCACAGCTCTACTTTGATGACTGTGTGTTTGATTTGTGTGCCTCTAACGGAGAAGAGAATGTGCTTTGTGACAGCATAGCAGCCTATGCCTATAACTGTCACTTGGCAGGAGTAGATGTCGACTGGAGGACTCCATCCTTTTGTCGTAAGTTTTGTTATTTTCCCATATCATTTCTTTCTATTTTAAATTACTTTTTCTTTTTCTAAAATGATTTTTATGTTTTGTTGTTTTCTTTCTTAGCCATGAAATGCCCGTCCAATAGCCACTATCGGGTGTGTGCTGAAACCTGCTCTGATTCCTGTACCGGCCTTACGGATATTGTTGAGTGCCCCACTGGCTGTACTGAAGGTTGTGAATGTGACACTGGTTTCCTGTTCAATGGACAGACATGTGTCAATGAAACTGAATGTGGTTGCTATGACAATGGAAAAACATATAAGGTACACATTACCATTTGTTAAGTAAACATGCAAAAGTGCATAGTGATGAGAATTAGCCCATAAATGAGATCAATGTGTTTCATACTCAGTGGTGCATTTGATATTCATTTCATTGAGATTTATTCTAAATGATAAATTTTTACCCTCGTCCAGTATAACCCATTGCTTTTTCATTCACCAGCCTGGTGAAATGTTCTATGAAGAGGATTGTAACACAAAGTGCACCTGTAATCGGGCAACAGGCCTTGTCTGCGAGAAATATTCATGTCCTAAAGACACCAAATGCATGGTCAGGAAAGGAATCAGGGGATGCTACAACACAGGCAAGATTCACACACTATATACAGTTACTGATATTAACTGATATGATGAAGTGCGACTATTTTTAAAATGATGTTTGTAATTACAGTGCAACACATTGTTATATTAATAACTCTGGAATATTTCATATTCGGTCATATTAAAAAATACAATTTTCAATGTATGTAATTGATAGTCAAAGAGATAGACCTAAATGCTAAATAAATGTACTATGAGGGTTTTAAAAAATCTCAATAAATCTACTGGCAAGAGTGGCAAGAGACAAAGAAAAAAAATTTGCAGCCCAGTGTCCCTCTTGTCACAGGCCATGAAGAGAAGAAAGCAATCATATGAAAGAAGGTGCATTTATAAGGGAATAAAAGCCAAACTTTCTGTTGTTCATTTAATTCATTTTTTTAAAGGGGTGTCACTATTTTTGAAAGCTGAAACTTACTCTTGACTGTCTCTTTCAGATCCCTGTAAAGATGCAAACTGTCGTGTCCAAGAAGCATGTCGTGTTGAAAAGGGTGAGGCTGTGTGCATCCCCAAGTTCACTGGCACCTGCTGGGCCTGGGGTGACCCCCACTACCACACTTTTGATGGGTACAACTTTGACTTCCAGGGAACTTGCAAGTACGTTATCTCTAAGACCTGTGGTAACCTAGACGGTCTTACTCCCTTCTCTATAACTGAGAGGAATGACAACCGAGGCAATACTGCAGTTTCGTATGTCAGGGAGGTTGATGTGTTTGTGTATGGGCACAACATTACAATTCGAAAGAACCAAGTTGGTAAAATCACGGTGAGAATTTAGCCTCTGAATATTTCATCTGCCATATTTTCCTGATGGCTGTTTGAATATTGTTCTTATGTTTCAATTCTAGGTAGATGGTGAGCTGGTAAATCTTCCTGTTCAGCTGGGTGATGGTGAAGTCTCTGTATTTCAAAGAGGGTGTAATGCTGAGCTCCAGACAGATTTTGGCCTGGTTGTCACCTATGACTGGAACTGGCATCTCATCATTAAGCTTCCAAGCAGCTACTATGGCAGTGTCTGCGGCTTGTGTGGCAACTTTAATGGCAACAAAGGGGATGAACTTCGGGATCCTACTGGCCAAGCTATCTCCTCAGTGATCGAATGGGGAAAGAGTTGGCAAACACCTGACCAGGACAAGAATTATCCTTGCTGGAATACATGTGAAGAAAACTGTCCTACCTGTGGTGATAATGACAAAAAAATCTACCAGACTCAAGCTTTTTGTGGGGCCCTCACAGCAGAGACAAATAATGTTTTCAAGAATTGTAATCAGAAATTAGACCCTGAGGCATTCATGAATAGCTGTGTGTATGACATGTGTTTAAATAAAGGAGACAGAAAGATGCTGTGCCAGGCACTGGACTCCTACAATCAACAGTGTCGAGAGGATGGAATAATAATCAAGAACTGGAGAGAGAAGTTCGGCTGTCGTAAGTTTATAAAGTTATTCTGCTGATGACTGCAGTTAAATATTTACATTCTTTTCATTCTTATCCTGTCTTTGGTTCATTTTATTTACATCCAGCCATGAATTGTCAACGCCACAGCCACTATGAAGAGTGCGCCAGCCCATGTCAGCCATCCTGCCCATTCCCTGAGGAAAAGCAGATTTGTAGCAAAGTGTGCGTGGAGGCCTGTGTGTGTGACGTGGGTTACGTCCTCAGCGCTGGTGCTTGTGTGCCTGCTAAAACATGCGGCTGCTCATATCAGGGCCGTTACTACAAGCCAGGACAGGAGTTCTGGGCCGATGAGACTTGCGGTCGCCTGTGTGTGTGTGACACAACCCTTGGTATGGTGACGTGCCGGGAAGCCTCGTGTTCTGCTAATGAGAAATGCACAGTATTTGAGGGACAGCGTGCCTGCAGGCCTATCAGCTACGCCACATGCAGAGCGTCGGGTGACCCGCACTATCGTACCTTCGATGGCTACAAGTATGATTTCATGGGGACATGCGAGTATCAGCTGGCTGGAGTGTGCTCTCAGCAGGCTGGGATGGTGCCCTTCAATGTGACTGTGCAGAATGAAAACAGGGGAAGCAAGGCTGTGTCCTACACAAAGACTGTTAAGATTTCCATTTATGGGGTTACTCTCACCATAAGCAAAGAGTACCCCTACAAGGTCTTGGTGAGTATTGATGTAGAGGTATAAATAATGATGCATGTGGAAGTTGTATTAATAGCATTAGAAGTAATCTGCTTTTCTGCACATTTGTGGAAAGATGAGAATTAGGACACAGCTTGCAGTCACATCAATGAAAATAAAAGCCCATCTGATTTAAATGAGTGGATGATAATTTCCTTTGTATCTGTGCTAATTTCCTCATCCCTCATGCTCCACTGTATATATATTTAATCACATATTAAAAATTAAATCCAGACAGTCTTAATTAAACTAAGATTTAACTGCACATTAGAATGGATCAGTGAGGTGTGCAGAATTATTAAATTCATAATCCCTAAAAATCCCTCCACCCCCTCCCCTTTTCTCTGCTCTTCAGTTGAATGGGCAGCTTGCTTCACTGCCTCTGGATTACAATGATGAGCTGGCTGTGTTTCAAAGTGGTCGTTCAGCTGTAGTGGAGACAGTGGCCGGAATCACTGTGAGCTTTGACTGGAGGAGCAAAGTGACCATCACTCTGCCCAGCACCTACCAGGGCGTGGTTTGTGGTCTGTGTGGAAACTATAATGGCACAGCTAAGGATGACCTGGCCATGCCTAATGGACAGACTGCCCCTGATGGTACCAGGCTAGGGGAGAGCTGGCAGGTGGGACTCGCACCCCATTGCTCATCTGTCTGCCAAGGGCCATGGTGCCAGGTTTGTTCAGACTCACAGAGGAAAGTTTATGAAGCTAACAAGTACTGTGGCATAATTGCTGACAAAGCAGGGCCTTTCAGAGAGTGTCACGGACACGTGGACCCCTCCTCCTACATGGAGGACTGTGTTTATGATGTGTGTCAGTACCATGGGCATCAAAGCTCAGTTTGTGATGCTGTGGAAGTGTACGCATCGGAATGTCAGAGCAGAGGAATCACAATCCACTCCTGGAGAACGAATGAGTTTTGCCGTGAGTTTCACATTGTACTTTTCTTTCGTTTTTGCTTTAACTAAAGGATATATTAAGCAATCTTTAACAATGCTTCCCCTATACTTGTGTCCAGGTTTAAAATTCACCATAATTAGGCCTATATAATTTCTTATAACAATATAAAAGAAAAAATGCCTGAAGGGCTGGTTATACTCCCCGCAGCAGTGTGTTGCAGTGAGCTTGACGCAGACATTTTTGATTTATGCTCAATTTTGAAGCTTGGCCTGCGCTATGTGATATTCCATGCCACAAAGCAAGAGGGACAATCACAAACTAGATGTGGGTCTAGATACAGTCGAGGCGGTGAGGAAGTGACGGCAAGTCTGTCTAACAACAGAGGAACATGAGGGTGAAAAAGAGCAGAGATCCAGGTGGAAAAAGGGTCCCAGCGTTCTCACACACCATGCTCTTCTACCTGGTCCAAATTCAGGAGTTGTTTTCTGCAATTGCGGTCATACAAACAAAACATTTGGGAGAGGTGCAGCAGAGTGTCTGCGGAGGGGACAGGGATGTCTTTGCATTCACTGCGACACCTACGCAGATGACCTAGTTTCGAAGTATAAATAAGCCTTTAGACAAAAGCTAGAGGAGGCAGCTAAGATTGCAGCAGAAAATTACATGAAACTACAGCAAACTTATCTAACAACACAACATCCACCTGATACAAAATCAGTGATTGCAGCATCTCCAGCTTGAATTTAAGTTAATTAAATAAGAATTTCTATGGCAATCTATTCAGCAGGGAGGAGGAGGTCATGAGACATATTTACTGAGGGGAGTATGCTTGTGACCAAACAAATCAGTATAGAGGGGATTAAAGGGACATTTCTTTTACTAATAAATATATGATGATTAATGAATGAATTATTCAAACAGGAGCTGCAGCCAATACCTTTTTCTCATTTTGTTCAGAACCTACAAAAGAGTTGCAACTGTCATTTGGAGAGAACAATTAATTTATTATGATATGCAGAGATCAGAAGACATGAACAAAGCAGTGCCTTCCGGTATTGAGGCTTTAACTTATAGCAATTGTTTTATTTTAAAGTTATCTTCCGGGATTTTGGTCGACTACAGTGCAGCAGAACCGAGCTGTGAGCTCCGGGGCTGGTCAGGGAACACCAGCAGAGGGTCAGGTTCAGGTGCTCCGTCCCCGAGCTGATGGCTCTGTTCGAACGCCCTGTCCGGTACAGTCAGCGGCCCAGCAGCCCCCCACACAAAAAAGTGTCCTCCATTTCAGAAATCCAAATCTGGTCATCCTAAGTAATCATCTGCACCTAAAAACAATTAAAAAGCCAGTTGTACTGTATTGTGTTTATTTATGTTTATTTCTCGCCAGTCATTTCAATTATCTAGCTTTAAAATATTATAAATGCACCTAAAGGATTGTTTTGGGCATACATGTCATCTCCAGTGTGCTTTTTTGTTTTCTTTTTTTCTGTTCTGCAGCAATGAAGTGCCCTGCTAACAGCCATTACAACCTGTGTGCCACGGGTTGCCCAGCCACCTGTGCTAGCTTAACCTCTTTCGCCACCTGCCACAGGCACTGTGCAGAAGCCTGCGAGTGTGACCAAGGCTTTCTGCTAAGTGGGGAAGCCTGCGTGCCTGTGAGAGAGTGTGGCTGCTCCTATGATGGTCAGTACTACAAGAAAGGGGAGGTGTTCTATCCTGAGGACAAGTGCATGGAGAAATGCACCTGTGGAGAGAATGGGGCTGTTACTTGCCAAAAAGAAAAATGCAGTCAAGGAGAAGTCTGTAAGCTCCAAAATGGAGTGAAAGGATGCCATCCTGAGGGAGAAGCAAAATGTGTGGCTTCTGGGGACCCTCATTACACATCCTTTGATGGTCAAAGGTTTGATTTCCAGGGTACCTGCGTCTATGTGCTGGCCAAAGTTTGCGATGATGACAAAGGTCGACTGATACCATTTGCTGTTACTCAGGGCAACGAGAAGTTTGGCAATGGAAAGGTGGCTGTAACCAAGTCAGTTGCAGTGACAGTTTATGATTATGTGATATACATCCAGCAGCGTCTGCCATGGAAAGTCATTGTAAGTTTGACAGTTTTATCAAGCACACATATAAGGCCCCACCAACACAGCTATAGAAATATGTTATTTTCTGTTCTTCAAACTAAAATTAACTAAACTCTCTCTGAGATTCAATAGTCAGTTTCTTTCATACCTTCTTTGTTGTAATGACATTTAACATTAATGATACCAAAACTCAGAGGGAAAGTTTTATTTTGTATGGCTCAGGGGCATTGCTTGATAAAAAGATACACTTAGGCACAGGATCCAATTTCAAAATAGTCCAGAATAAAATGTCCAATTCTAATTCAGATGCAAACACTTACCCTAGATGTGTGAGATTATTTTTATCAGTACTCAAAACACATAAGAAAGCTAAGAAGCATATGACAATAGGAGGAAATGCCATTCACAATATGTGAATAAAAGCTTCATTTTACTTCAATTCAATTTTAATTAATTTTCTAAACCAATAGAAAACTGGTTTTCAGAGTTGTAATACACATCTGTGGACATGTGCTACATATATTTTGTATATGCATCCATGTTACATTTTCAGTACCTTTTTTATATCACCAGTAGCATAAGAAAGTCTAAAAGGTGTTAGCCATACTATTTTTATTTTTATTTGTAAGCAGTTTTACTTTCTTGTAGTCATTCAAAGCCAACACTTAAATGCTTTAAATGTCACAATATTTTGTTGATATTGGATTGTAAATTTACAGGATAATCTTTCCAGGTATTGTGGACATTGCAGGCTGAAGTCATGCTAGGCTAAAGATTCAAACATGTCATTCAAAAAGCTGGCAGGTTTTTGATCATGCTGACCTTGTAATTAAATCTTGAACACAGTTAAGACAAAAAAAAATATGGGTAGACAAATGGCCATTATTGAGGTTATTGGCATAAAAAATGATAACAGGCATGCACTAAGTGAGATTTTACACTGTTGTTTTAAACAATCTGAGATTTTAGAATTTTAACATTGAAAAATATTTTTTACATTTTTTTATGTTGTCACTAAAAATCCCCAATTTTTGGAAAAATATGTATCACTTTATGTTCAAGCTATGCAACTTCTAGTTTAAAAAAGTTTTTTTTTTTTTTTTTGTTATTCAATAAAATATGCATCTACTCTGTCTGTGGGATTCTAATCAAATTGCTGCAATAGCTAAAGTATTCATTGACCTCATTTAAAAAAGAACATTCTGAGAACAGCTAGATCAGTGCTCCCCTAAAATGGTAGTTCATTGTTTTTTTTTTTGGTTTTTTTTTCAGTTTCAATGAAAGAAACAATTAACTACTTTCAATTTCACAAGGAGTAAAAGATCTCTTAAAAAGGGTTATATTTGTGCGAAAAGGGATTTAATCTTTCTAACAATGATTTCTTAACACTGATTACAATGATTTCACTAAATCTCTTACACAGGTGAATGGTGAATTGCTCAACCTTCCTCTCTCATTAAATGACGGCCATCTGACTGTGACCCAAGAGGGTCGCAACATAGTGCTCCAGACAGCATTTGGGCTGAAAGTTCTCTATGACACCATATACTATGTGGAGGTGGTTGTTCCCTCTACATACCAAGATAGGATGTGCGGTCTCTGCGGCAACTATAACACCAATGGTAGAGACGACTTTAGACTTCCTGGTGGGAAACAAACAAATGACATTGATGACTTTGGAAGGGCTTGGGCCGTGGACCTTCCTGGATATGTGTGTGGTGGCTGTGGAGGTCAGTGTCCAGCATGCGAACCAGCCAAGGAAGCTCTGTATAGAAAACCGGATTCCTGTGGCATCATCAGTGCCGCTGACGGCCCTTTTAAAGCCTGCCACAGTAAAATCGATCCAGCTGTATATGTGTCAAATTGTGTGTTTGATGTGTGTGCAACTGATGGAAACAAGGACACTCTGTGCGACAGCATACAGGCCTACGCACTAGCCTGCCACAGTGAAGGAATTCAAATCCAGCCATGGAGAAGCAAGTCCTTCTGCCGTAGGTCACACACAGCAGCAGTTCCCTCGCCTGTCCTTGCTATCTGTTCTTTGTTATTTATTAGCACATTTTGTTTTATTGCAGCTGCTTCCTGCCCTCCTCACAGTCACTATGAGGTGTGCGCTGATACTTGCGAGAGGACATGTGCTAGCTTCCTTCAACAAGTTAAGTGCTCTGAGAGATGTTTTGAAGGATGCCAGTGTGACGAAGGCTTTGTTTCTGATGGCATTCAATGTGTTCCACTTGACAAGTGTGGGTGTGTGCACAATGGCAGATACCTGACGGTGAGCTTTAAGAGAGGTTTCATTTTAATTATTATATGTAAAATTTTGTGACCAAAATATTACTGATATATTTCACTGGTGTGCCAAGTGTCAAGAAGGAATAGAGATTCAACTAACCAAAGCTGTATTTCAGGTGGGTCAAGTTGTGGTGGATAAAGATTGCAGCTCCAACTGTGAGTGCCAGGCCTCTGGGCTGGTTACATGCGAAAAGCTGTCCTGTACCAGCGGGGAGGTCTGTGATGTCAGAGATGGGGTCAGAGGTTGTCATATCATACAGGGCCACTGCAATGTCAGTCCAGTGGGCGAGCTGAGCTCCTTTGATGGCATGTCTGGAACAATAGGAACACAAGGGGCTTTTGAGTTGGCCTCTAATTGCGACGAGTCAAGCAAGCAGTGGTTCCGTGTGGTTGTGGACATGAGAATATGCAGGGAACGGGGGCCTCTCGCTGTTGCCACTTTGTATGTGTTCTTTCAAGACACCACTGTGGCAGTAAACGATCAGCATGAAACCTGGGTGCGGATTTTTAAAAATAAAGCAAAAAGCACTTTCGTATTTTTGTGTTTTTCCCAAAATATATTTGACTTCTTCCCTTATTTTCCCCTCTGTATCATATTTTACAGGTAAATGGAAAGAAAGTGTCCCTGCCCAGCAACGTGACAAATGAGCTATCAGTCCAGATCTCAGACAGGAGTGTTGTCATTGAGAGGACCTCAGCTGTGCAGGTCACCTTTTCTATTTCACAGAAGGTCACTATCACTGTCGATGGTAACCTTTCTGGTAAGATTTGTGGTGCCTGTGGCGACTACAACAATAACTCCAAGGATGACATGAAGACAGCAGATGGGAAATTTACAAGTGATTTCTCAGTGTTTGTTAGCTCATGGAGTGCTGGAGACTTCTCTAGATGGTGAGTACTTTATACATATTCTGGAAAAACTGCAGTCCTTTGAGATAGGGACTTTAAAAATACAAAAAATACAAATTTTGATTGATTTTATAAGACAAACTGCATAAATATTAATGCATGTTTTTTAAACTTAAAAAATATAAGATCAGTGGTGATCAAATTTTAACTTTCTTAGCTATATGTTTACCAGTAAGTGCAATGAAAAACTAATAATGCGCATCACCAAATAAATTTTAGGGTAATCCTGAAAGATAAGCTGTTAGAAGCAGCTAAAGCCTTAAAACTTTACTTCATACCAAAATGGTCATTTTAAACATACAACTGGATCTACAATGTAATGTTGATTAGAAGGTTAGAGTGGCTCGGTCAGAGACCCAAACTAAATCTGACTAAATTAGATTGAGTCATATTCGAAATACAAACGTCCAAATGTCGTAGATGTAAATGAGCAAAGCTGGTACATTCTCCCAAACACTTAAAATAGAGAGTTTTTTTTTTTTTTTTTAAGAGTTAACTAGGGGCTTAAATCACATCTAATCATACTTTTAAGATTTTTTTTTTAATGTATTTTGACATCATAATTATGTTCAATCCTGTGCTTGCCTATCGCTAAAAAAAAACAAATAACACATTATATTTTGTGGTTGTTCTCTGATAAAAATGTTTAACTAGAAAAAGCATTTGGAGAGCGCATACCTCCGCCAAGTAGCTCATTTTCCCCTAACATATCCACCTTTAATACCTGTTTAAGCAAAATCTTTGAAAAGAAATTCCTGGATCCAGATGGTGACCTGGATTGTCACCTAAATGTAATGGATTGTTCCATAGACTGAGGTGAACATTTGGTTACAAAATGTCATTAAAATCCATTGATATATTTTCAAGTTATCCTGTACACAGACAGACAAACTCTCCTAAAAACATTACCTCCTTGGGGAGGTAAAAACCAATTAATGGAGGTAATTCTCCACATGTGTTTTTACATACCACTAAAACTAACACTGGCTCTCTTGTTTTGAACAAAATAACAAATGCACCTTCTAGTTTATTGTCTTTAACCTTTTCAGTTAGGTCGTAAGATGCAATCTTTTCACTCTATTATCCAAAGTTTCAACTTGATTTGATCAGCTCTGTGAGAGATGGGTTGGTGCTACAGCCATTCAACCGCTTACTCTATAACAGCATGAACTAAACAAGGACTCCACAGAGCCCCATTTAAAGGAATGAGAGTGTGGTTTTTAATTGCATTTGGTTCAATTTAATTAAGAAATGCAAGAGAATCCCCTATGGTAATTACTGATTAAAAAGCAGGTGAGTCTGACAGGCATGGCCATCAAAAGCTACCAAGCTTACAATCCAATCTCTGCTTGTCATCCAAGGACACTTAAGACTCATCTGGGGGCGATATTAATTTGAGAACTTTTCTTTAGTTTGGTATCCTAGCCTCAAGTCAGACCTTTGAAGTGCCTCCCTACCTCTTTTTTATCACCTTGGGAAAGAAGAAAATAACCCTAAGGAGTGCTATTTGCTCTTACGTGTGTTTTGGAAAATACAACTCTCAGAAATGCCTGAAGTCTCTGTTCAGTTTTGCTTGAGTGGAAATAAATTTCCTTTGCCACTTTGACTGCAATTGTTTTCTTTTTACTGCAGTGGCCTGTAAAGAAGCTGCTTCCTGGCTTATAGAGAGGCCACTGGTACACAGGTAAATTATGAACCTATTCTCTGTGGAAAAATGTGAATGAATGAAATAGTTGTAAAGTGTGACGTATTTCTTTTTTCCTCTCTGTTATGCAGGAAGAAGATAGCTTCCTTTGTTTGCAGCTCTGATTGCCATACTTCACCACTTCCTCTTGATTGCCATTGTAGTTTTTGTTCTTTCCTCCACTTGCTCTTTCCTGTTATTGAACTAAGCGGTTTATGCTTGTCTAACATCTCCATCTAGTGGAACACAAAATCACAGCATCACTATAACTGATTTGGTATACCTTCTAATCTCTATCCTGTGTCCTCCTATCTGATCACTGAATAAATGTACAATTGATGACAAGCTGTGTTCAAGTTATTTATCATTTATAAGTATCCCTTAATTAATTTCAAACATTAAAATCAAAAAATTATTTCAAAAATTACATTAGAATTAATGCATGACATTCTCAACCAAAAAAGGCTATGTATTTTGTCTGACAACACATAGGTGAACAGATGTGAAATGGAAAAATTATGCAAAATGTTCCTTTTTTTCTATATCTGAAAAGCATGGCCTATATTTGTATCCAGCTCATTTCACTGTATTTTTAATGACAGAAAAAGTGCAACTATTTGCCTTTAGAAATCATCAATTTAAATCCTGTTGTTTCAGGTTTTTTATGACATCATAAGGAGCAAGGAACATAACTGAGATAAAGCAGCTGATAAATTCAAATTAAACATCCATAGATTGAGGTACTCCACAATCCCATATGTGAAAATTTATAGTGCAATTGTAAAGCTGCCAACCCTTTGTCTTCCTCAATTTCTACCCACTATCTAAACTTACAGGCCACACAAGTGACGTGTTGATCACTGCTGGATGGAATACTGGACAAAAAAAACAATTTTAAAACAGTTGTATGGTGCAAAAGACTGTGGTGGCGGTTTATGATCCTCAAGGACAAAAACCTTTAGAAATATAGCCAGATGTAAAATTGAAAAGAAGAATCTCTTGTCAAATTCGTATGTTTATGTTCACAGGTGCTCTACCAACAGATAGTTGCAGCTGTAATTGCAGCATAAAACGTTTTTTGCAAAGTCTTGAGCAGAACAGAAATACATAATACACTTATTTTACATTTTTTAAGGTAACAGATGTACTTTTATCAATTTAAATGTATGCATAACTCTGTTAGTCTGTCATGTTAAATTCCATTAGCGAACCTGGAGGTTTTGCAAAGGGTTGTGTTGTGTTTTCGGGCTTTCTTGCAGCTGACATACCAGGAAAGAGAAACACATGATGGTAAAATACAAGGTCCTTGTTGTGGGTGGGAATCTGGGAACAGAAAGAAAACTCAAGAATGTTCTGTTGACCAACCATAATGAGGCAGGGGCCAACCTACAGACAGGTCCAGTTTGTTTCTGCTCACTTAGAAAGGAATCTGATTATGTTTTTGCACCATGTAGGCAGAAGGAGCAACCTTAAGAGGACTGTTTTAATACTGCCTCTATACCAGACTGCTATGGTGCTATGGCCCTGAAAGCACTTCACTGTTTATGCCTCTAGTTCACAACACCCGCCCTCCACAAGACAGAAAATGAGTCCACAGTAAAACAAATTCACTAATCTGCTCTGTTTAAGGTCTACTAAATGTGCCCATGTTGAGGGGAGATAATGATCAGTGTTCATTAAAATATATCTGAATATTACTGCAGGCAACAGATTAATATTTTCTAGCAGAAAAGAAATACTGTAAACATGCAGCACAGGAGCACTGTGGCAAACAGCGGGGGTTGTGTTGTTTAAAGTTGCAGGGCAGCTCAGGGTGTTTTTTTGGAGTAACTTCAGCGGCACCCCGCCCCCCTCCTCTGGCTCATTCCTCAGAGAAAAACCCAGACGGAGCAAAAGTTGACCCAAGTTGAGCAGAAGTCCTCAGGCTTACACTTCTAGAATGCAAAAATATACTCCTAGTTTAGGTTAGACCGTTTGTACATTTTCATTTCATATTTTTTTTATTATTATTATTTTGCATGTATATCATTAACTTTGCTTGAGTACAGCTGTGTGGAAACTTTTCTTTGGGAGTTTGATTTACTGCGAATCTCATAGGCATATGAGGCTGATACACGGTAAGTTGATTCCTTGCAGTACACTGGAACTAAACCCCATTTTTGTTTAAATAACTTAAAATTAAGTTTTAACAGAACAGATTGTTTTAAAGTTTCTAGTACCCTACTTTTTTTTCTACATTTAATCATCGAATTGCAGCCTTCATGCCCCCAACTAGTAAAACCCTCCTTTTCTTTATTTATTTATTTATTTTTAAAAAATGGCACATCTGTTTTTCATATTCAAAATGTATATTTATCCCTCCTTGCAGCGGGTTGCTATCAGCCATAGTTAAACATTGGCTTTAATGGATTTTGTAGACATGTTGCCAAATTTCAGGTACCATAGTATCGCGATATTTAGCGATAAGAGCGACGCCAGACCGAAAAGGGAGCACTGGTAACGGCTGTCTGATGAAATTATCAGGTGCGATAAAGGTCTAAATTCTGGTTTTTATTCTGACTCAAAACACGAGAGGGGGACTGTGTTTGCAAATGCTTGACCTCTTAAATCAAATTGTGTGTTGACCAAAATTTTAAATAGTTGTTTGTCAAAATGAATAGGCCTACATCTGAAAGAGCAATAGGATGACGCTCAATTGATAACAGGATTGTATGGTTAAAGAAATAAGACAACTATCCATCCATTATCTGACACGCTTGTCCCGAGTGGGGTCCCTATCTCCAGCAGTCAATGGGCAAGAGGCAGGGTACAGCCTGGACAGGTCACCAGTCCTTCGCAGGGCAACACAGAGAAAGAACCATTCACACTCACACCTAAGGAGAATTTAGAGAAAACAATTAACCTAACAGTCATGTTTTTGGACTGTTGGAGGGAGCCAGAGTACCCGGAGAGAACCCAACGCATGCTCAGGGAGAACATGCAAACTCCATGCACAAAAACCCCAGGCCAGCAGTCGAATCCTCAACCTTTTTGCTGCAAGGCAGCAGTGCTACCCACTGCGCCACTGAGCAGCCCATAGGACAACTAAAAAGTTAAAACTTCTGTAACTGATTTACATTGGAACCTGAAAGAATGTGTGACCTGTGGATTCTTCTTAGGGTTTTTGTTTTCATCATTGATTATTGGATTGTCCCTTTAGTGGTTTAATGATTGTAGTTTCTGAAACAGCAGAACATGTACGCTGTGTCTTTTCTAGATTTTGTCTTATTAAAACAATGGTAAAAAAAAAATAGTTGGATGAGATTGGATTGTCAACATTCTGCTTTAGTTTTTTAAAACATAAAGAGTGGCACATTGTTATTGGCTTGTTGTGGTTCAGTATTTTTGCTTCACTTGAATCTTAAAAATCAGTTTGGGTTGAACTCTTTGTTGTTGCCAGTTCAAAACATTTTCTATTTGTTGCAGGAATAACTACAGTTAGCAAAAAAGAGCTGATATCAATATATTTTCTTCCATTTTATGCACATAAGTCCTTGTACACTTAAGGATGTTGTTTACAATTAGCTGCAAAATGGAGAGAGCTCTTCTGTTATGACTTATATGACAAACTTTCATTGCTTTTGCAATCCCCCATATTTAATCCAGAAATAGGAGTTTCTCTGCAAGCTTAAATATTCCTATTCAGTATGCAGGCTGCAGGGGGTGTTTTTATTTAAACAAGGGAATTGGTGAAATGACCAATATTTCCACAACTGCTGGCTACTTATATTCTGACTTGAAACTAGAATGTGCCTTCCCCTGGTCTGATGTCATTTCTACATACACACTCTGACTTCTGAGACTAACTGAATGCTGCATAAGTTCACTTCAGTTTAAAAGAACAAGACCACACTGAAGCGGGGATCATGTAGTGTAGCTGTTCTTGAGTGCACAGTCCAGCTAGTTGCATAATCATCAATAAATAAAATATTGGTAAATCAATTATTTATTTACCAACAAAACTAGTTGCCAAAAAATGAATAAATAAACACACCATTGATTTATCTTGGAGTTCTGTGAAACTGTGAAATAATGCCAAAGGTTATACTAGGCTCATGTCTGGAATTGATGCCATGAGCCAGATGGTAAATATGTTTTGAATAAAACTCTACAATGAGCAGCAGACCAAAAGATCAAGGTGACTAAATATTTATCTTTGACAACAGAACCCTGTTGTGAAAAAGCCTTTTCTAACAAAATGAATAACGTTTTAGTTGGAACTCATAAAACCAGTGGATTGTTGGAATTGATATACTAGTATTGCAAAGTGACTGCAACTAGCAATACTAGGTAATTGCATTATGCTTTCTTGCATGTTACACATTCAAACACAAAGTATCTAATGTGATGGATGGAATAAAGTGTAAGACATCAGATTTTTTAATAATGTCTTGTCATTGTATAAGATTTTAGGAAAGGGGTTTGTTAGATAATTTAGATTTCCCAGTTAGAATTTTAACATAGATTACCAGAATGGGTCCAGGGCTAAAGCTCTCTAAGGAAATCAGAAAATATCTAAATTGTGAGATGCTCTAAATTTATGATATACCAGGACCAGAACATGAAGACAACGTTAAGGAAAACAAACTCAGAAAATGGATTACTTATTGGCTTGCAAAGAATACATATTTGATTCTCGAGCCATAATACTGATCTGTGGTTAGAGGGAGCCTATTAGTGGCTTACTTTGGTTTTTTTGCCTGCATTCAGAAGACATTTTGCCTTCAAAGCAAATATTAAGATAATCAACTGTGGTTTAGAGCAAATACAAGTAAGTAAAAATATCTGCATTCATTTTAAGAACTCTATAATCTGAAGTAATAAAAAATTGTAATTAAATAATCACTGAAATAATTGCAAGTCCTGGTTCCTTCATTTTAACAGCTGAGGATGGATTCTGGATCTGTGACGAGACTAAACCTAAACCCCTTAACAGTTTTGTTGTTGGAAGTCAGAGAATTAGTGACATGCATCGACCATAAACAATACGCTAATGGCTATCCACGATACAAGCTATAAACAGTGGAATCTTTTATGTTTCATGCGTTTCAACACTACAGGTACATGTTTTCTAACCAAGACTGCACAATAATACAGGTGTGAAAAATGCATATAGAAACGATCCATAAAATGAGCAGACAGAAAGTCCATTACTGTAGCTTGGTTTGCAGCAACCATTTTGGGATGGGGAACAATTTTTGACTTCCTCTCTTAGAATTTGAACTTCTTGAGGTTCCAAAAGCTAATCCATCAACCCAATATACTCCACCAATGGATAATAGCGATATTCTTCCTTCTCT